GAACTGCCAACCTTTTGATTAGCAGCCAAACGCTTAACCACTGTGCCACCAGGGCTCCACACTCTATGTCTAAAAGGTGCTAATAGTATCTTCATTTATAGGTGAGAGAACTGAGGCACAAAGAGATAAAGTCAGTTGCCCACACCCCCACACCTGTAAGTGGCAGGACAGTGTTATAGATTGAATTGCATCCCCCCAAAAGGTATCTTGAAGTCCTAACCCTTGTACCTGAGAATATGACCTGAGTTTTATTTTGTTATGTTAATGAGATCATACCGGAGTAGGCTGGTCCTGAACCTAATCCCTTCTGAGTGATGTCTTATAAAAAAGAGAAAACAGACACGGAGAGTAATATACACGGGGGAAGTCAGACACCATGTGATAATGGAGGCAGATGCATCTACAAGCCCAGGAATGCCAACAATTGCCAGGAGCTAAACCGGTGGTGCAGTGGTTAAGAGCTACGTCTGCTAACCAAAAGGTCGGCAGTTCAAATCCACCAGGTGCTCTGAGGAAACTACATGGGGCAGTTCTACTCTGTCATATAGGGTCACTATAAGTCGGAATTGACTCGACGGCAACAGGTTACTAGGAGCTGAAAGAGACAAAGAAGAACCTTCCCCTAGAACCAACATCCTGAATTTAGACTTTTAACCTCCTGAACTGTTAGAAAATAAATTTCTGTTCTTCAAAGCCACCTACTATGTGGTATTTTTGTTATGGCAGCATTACATAACTAAGACAGGCAGAATCCAAGTCCAGGTGGTCTGGCTCTGGAATGTTCTTACCCACTAGTCTATGTTGAATTGACTTCCATTGGGTGGTGTTTCTCAGTGACTTTAGTTTAAAAAGCAGCAGGATCTTCAACAATGAAAATGATTCTCTCTTAATCTACTGAACTCTCACAACAAATGCTTCAAAGAGTTTTTCAAGTCCTGGTGACAGATCTGCTTTGATTGTGACATGTCTATCCCACCCAGAAGGTCTCAGTCCCAATGGCACACATTTATTATGTCCAGGATGAGACAGACAACTTGGTCATGGAATGCAGAGCAGTCAAATGTCCATCAAAAGATCACTCCTAGGACCTTGGTCCTCAGTGCACTGAGATTCTAAAAGGTTGTTCCCAGCTGTTGCAGATCAGACTCCCAAGAAACATAGCTCTCTCTTGACTGCTGAAGTCTGGTCCAGAACTTCAATTCAAGTGCATAAAATACTATCCTTTTAACATCAAGGAATGCTCCTGTCATGCTCCCAAAGTCAGTCAGCCCATCCAAAAGCCATCTGCCAACTTCGGCCTCAAGCAGTGACTAGCTCTGAAACTCAAACAAAATTCTTGACAATCTTCTACTTTCCAGCAATAACGAGTTTGTTGAACAACTCTGAAACTTTACTTGATGTTCTCATCCACCTCCTGGGTTTCTCTAATGGGCACTGTTCCATAAAGACCAATGGCCACAGGGATTTCTCTTCCTATTCCTTAAGGGCGGCCAACACCCACTCAGCTTAGTAAGCTTTGCCAAAGGCCACTTCTGTGCCAGCGGAAAACCAAACAAAAATCTTACCCATTGTCCCTGTGTCAATACTCAACAATTTTCCTACTAAAAGCCACATTTTCTCACCAGGGCTGCCTATGCCGAAGACTGCTTTAGTATTTGAATCAATCAGTAGAGGCACAAAAGCCCGAAGCACTAGTACATAGAAAAACTCTTTGTAGAGGACTTAATAACATGTTGCTAACTCAATCACTCTACATTTATGTTCCAGTAACGTCAAACGACAGTAGTTAAGAGAGAACCTGCTGGCAAACTGACAAACAGCCACCACTAACCAATTAAACAGTAACACCAGAGGATTTTTCATTGCAGAACTCGATGAAGAAAAAAAATCTATCTGCTTCCAGTAACACTCGTCCTGGATGGCTTTGTACTGTAAGTACAATACACTGTAATAGGCCCCAGTTTTAGAGAGCTAAGGAAAGGGGGCATTTTGCAATACAAGTACTGTGATCAGAAAAGAATGGAAGAGGCTGTCAGCTGTGTGCCACCGGAAGAATTCCACTAACCACAAGGGCCATTCAACCTCTAAACCAGAAGTTCTAAACAAGGGCAATTTTACCCCCACCCCCAGGGGACATTTAGCAATGTCTCAAGACATTTTTGATTGTCACAACTGGGGGTGGGGTGCTATTGGCATCTAAAGAGTAGGGGCTGGGGATGCTGCTAAACATCTTCAAATCTCTCTGTGGTTCCTGCTTCTTTTCTGATCAATCTAACTGCTTGCCTGCCATCTTTGCCTGGACATCCCACAAGCACACTGAAGCCATGGTCTGTTCCTCAAGTCTCATCTCCTGTATATCTCATCTTGGCCATGGAGTCACTACCAAAGCAGCACCCCCAGTTATCCCTGTGCCCACCCTTTCCTTCCATCCCATCATTTGTCATCACATCCTGTCGATTCCACATCTAAAATCTAATCGATAGATCCCCCGACCACACTTCTACTCCTACGGTCTTGTCCTTCATCAAATCTTGCATAAACCAATGCAAACCTCTTCTATTGAATTTCCAGGTTCTATTAGCCCACTCTGATGCTGGATGCTAAAACAGAGAGCTGACCCTATCATCTTACTGCTTATAAGGTTTCAAGGCCCTCAGAGGGGAATCCAAGCTCCTTGGCATGGCATTCAAGGCTCCTCCAAGCTGGTCTTGGTATACCTTTCCAAATAGCCCTCAACACTCCTCCCCATTCCGTATACGGTAGCCAAGGTGGGCAGCAGCCTCTTTCACAAACAGGTTGTGCTCTGGGACCTCTGGGTTGTTGTTAGTCAAACAACAGTTTCACAAGGCGCTCTGTTTCATTGCAGACTGAGCTCCAATGCTACCTCCTCTGTCCTCCTCTCTCCCTCCTCAGGCTGTGTTCTTATAACCCTTCATGAGCACCTCTAGTCTACCATTCATCCCACTGCATTAGTCCCTATTAAACCACAGTCCTCAGAACAGGAACCCCAGAACCCGGAAAATTTCCTGGCACATAGTAAGTGCCCTACGTATGCTCATTAGGTGAAATAAACTAAAGCTATTCCTGAGACAGGAACAAGACAGGGAGGAGGAGGAGGGAAGTCAAGAGAGAAGGACAAGTCTGATATGGCAATCTTCTATCAATCAATACACCCCTACACAGGTCCAGGACAAAGAGTGTCAACCAGTGCTCCTCATGGAGAAGCAAAGAGTAGTTCTTCTAGCAATTAAGCCAGGGGCAGAGAAGGGGCCAGGCAGCCCCTGAAGAAGCAGAAGCAGGAGCAGTGTGTGGACTACGCTTATGCCTGAGCTACCTTTCCACAGATAGCAGTTAGACATCTGGGCAAACCACCTCTGCACCTCAAGGTCAGAGCTGACTGGCTAGGGGTACAAGCAACAAAGATCTTGGCTGGCTCCAGTTTCAGTGTGATCAGGCGGTCACATATTGTCAGCACCAGTCACTGGGCAAGGAGGAGAAGGTTAAGAAGTGATAGAAAGGAAATGGAGACAGAAAGGGGAAGAGAGGAGAAAGAGACAGATGCCCACTGCTCTAACCCTTTCTCCAAACTGCCCAGGAGCCAACATCTTATAGAGCAAGAACTGAGAGAAGTAGCAAACCATTTTAAGATGCAGGACACATTTCTGAGGGCAAAAAGAAAATTAAGGATGAAGCCGAGAGGCGGTTTATTCAGTGGGGTTTATACAGTAGAGACTGGTTATCAGGAAATGCTAAACAATGGTGACATCGAGAACCTCCACAGAGTCCTTCATCTTCAAACCCTTTATGAGCATGAACTACTTCGCCCATGAAAAAGGCCAAGAGGCAGGTGAATGCTTTTATGGTAATGGGAACCCACAAAAAAACCAAACCCATTGCCGTCAAGTTGATTCCGACTCATACCAACCCTACAGGACAGAGTAGAACTGCCCCACAGGGTTTCCAAGGAGCAGCTGGTGGATTCGAACTGTCAACCTTTTGGTTAGCAGCTGAGCTCTTAACCACTGTGCCACTAGGGCTCCATGGTGAGGGGAGACTTCTGCAAATTTAACAGTAGCAACCTAGAGGACGGCTGAAATTCAATCCCTCTGCATCCAAGTCCAAGAAAATTGAGCAGGTTTCTCTGGATCCCATTTCCTTTCTGACCACAGAAGGGTTTAGCGATAACCTTTCTCACATTGTGGTTTCCCTCTGGAGGAATTATATTCAAACTCTGTCACTAAGCCGCCATTATATGGGCTCAAGACATTAAGGGAAAGAATAAAAGGAAAGGGGGGAAATACATCTGGGCTGCCTATA